TCTCGTCTCTCACTATTTACTAAGTATTGAACTTCCAAGTATGTTGATTTTCCAACCTTTCAAAAAAGAGCAAAGGAGTGACTGCCTTGTTGCTAGGTTTTAGACAACAATTAGAGGTCCTTACACTCAACAATTAGATGTGCTTTCACTTTTTTTGCTACTCTGACTTGAGTCCCTTAGGAAATTAATTCAGTTTCTTAGCAACTCAGATGGGTAAAACTTAAATATATGCAGGGTTCTTTTGTAAAGCAAAGGCTAAATGTTTCCCTTATAAACTGTTTGTTTAGTCTAGCTTGGCTTTGCAGAAAAGATTTGCTGAGATACACAGCCCTAGAAATTTTCACAAAAAGCTCTGTTTTAAATGGTGAGTGAAGTTATTGATTTTCTAATGAATGTTCCTGCTTTTGCTTATATTTTGAATTATTTCAGTTTGTCAATTTGACTAGCTTTTTGGAATCTGTGTATTTTAATATGAGATGGGTGAATTTATTTATGAAAAACAGTTTCTTTATATATAATATTGTAAAAGGGGAATTATGAAAAATGTATTAAGGAGAAAGCCAAGCTAGAAGAAAGTGCTGAATTTATCAACTTAAAATATGCACGAATTTGTGGTTCACTGTGCTCTTAATAGCACACTCTAATGTTTTTTCTTATGTTGACAGCATGTAGGTATCAGGTATATATCTATATCAATCTATTTAAATATCCATTACCCCAAATACTAATATTAGAAAATTAAACTCAGATATGTAAGCAAAAGAAGCTTAAATTTGCATTCATTTGCTAACCAAAGAAATTTATTTCTTTTAACTAGTAGATCATTAAAAACAGATAAAAATATTTTGTGACTTTCCAGTTAAAAACATTTGAGGAATAAATTTAAATAAGTTTATTTTTTATATCGCCACTGGTATGAAGAAGCTTTCCATTATTTAGAAAAAAAATTATGATTAAATATTTGGGGTTTTAGATACAGTTTTTAAACACAGAATCTGTAATTTTCAGATTTTGGGAAACACAGAATTCCTATTATTCCTCTTAGTGAACCATATAAAATTTGCATTTTTGTAAGGTTGAAAAATGGTTGAAAAACAGCATTTCCCATGGCTCAACTTAAAATATGCTGAACCCTATGGAGGATTTGTAAAGCTAGAAATTCTTGTCTCAACAATTTTATAATCTAATTTGGAGGCAGATCTTGTAAATAATTTACTTTAATACAAGCTGCGAGGCAAAATGTAGCTTCAAGCACCATTGCTCGATTCAGAAGAAAGGATGAATCCTGCAGGGGGATCTGGGAACACTTTTACGGGACCTTCAGATATGAGAATAATTTTTTTTTTAAAGATTTTATTTATTTATTTGAGAGAGAGAGTGAGAGAGCACAAGAGGGGGGAGCGGGAGAGGGAGAAGCAGACTCCCCGCCGAGCAGGGAGCCCGATGCGGGACTCGATCCCGGGACTCCAGGATCATGACCTGAGCCGAAGGCAGTCGCTCAACAGACTAAGCTACCCAGGTGTCCCTAGAGGTGGATTTTTATTTATTTTTTAAAGATTTTATTTATTTATTTGCGAGAGAGAACGAGAGACAGCACGAGAGGGAGGAGGGTCAGAGGGAGAAGCAGACTCCCTGCCCAGCAGGGAGCCCGATGCGGGACTCGATCCCGGGACTCCAGGATCATGGCCTGAGCCGAAGGCAGTCGCTTAACCAACTGAGCCACCCAGGCGCCCTATGAGAATAATTTCATAGGTGGAAAGTTACTGTGCTTATTGAATGAAAAATAACCTATTCTGTTATTTTCAATGAAACTTTTAGGCCAAAATATAACTTCTATAATATCAACATTTACCACTAAACCTTTGACTGAATGAGAATATTGCTGGTTTATTTTTTCTTAATTCCTCAACCACACAGCTCATAACTTTGTATTTCTCTGTGTTGTAGTTTTTTTCCATTTAAAGTATGATGATGTGATGTTACCATTCCAGACTTCAGTCATTCAACTAGACCTCCAGGTGATTTCTTTCTTCTGTGGTGCCTATGGACTACAATGATACATGCCAATACATGATTCATATACTATAAAAGCCTAATGTTACACACATTATTCAAATGAACAGCATGTAATATTAAATTCATAATATAAGGCCAAAATAAAGTATCACAAAAATTGGAGAGAATTTATTACCATTTAAAATATGACTTAGTAAAACAAATGAAAAATTAAAAAAAATAAAATAACATATGGCTTTGTTTCAATTTTTGTTAGTCAGGAAGCCCGGAGACATAAGAGACAGAGACAGAGGCATGCCTCAGTGTCAACACAACACGTCTATTTTTAATTTTTTGAGGAGCCTTCACACTGTTTTCCATAGTGGCCACACCATTTTGCGTTCTCACCAATAGTGTAAAAGTGTTCCAATGTCTCCACATCAACACCAAAACTTAATGTCTTTTTTTTTAAAGATTTTATTTATTTATTTGACAGAGAGAGACACAGCGAGAGCAGGAGCACAAGCAGGGGGAGTGGGAGAGGGAGAACAGGCTTCCGGCAGAGCAGGGAGCCCGATGTGGGGCTCGATCCCAGGACCCTGGGATCATGACCTGAGCCGAAGGCAGATGCTTAACGACTGAACCACCCAGGAGCCCCACTTAATGTCTTTTTAAAATTGTTATTATAGACATCCTAACATATGTGAGATGCTATCCCACTGCATTTCCCTGATGATGGTGATATTGAGCATCTTTTTATATACCTGTTTGCCATTTATATATCTTCTTTGGAAAGTATATTCAAGTATTTAGCTCAGTTTTCAATCAGATTATTTGTTTTTGTTGCTATTGAAGTGTAGGAGTTCTTTATATATTTTGGATATTAATCCTTATCAGATAAATCGTTTGCAAATGTTTTCTCCCTTTCTGTAGGTTGCCTTTCACTGGGTTGATTATGTCCTTTGCTGTGCATATTTCCCATTCCCTTTGACTTTTTTTGCTTTTGGTTTTTGGTTTTTTTGTTTTGTTTTGTTTTTGCAAAATTTAAGTAGACTCAATTAGGTAATACCTTTGGTCTTGTTCTTTTTATTTTTCAGAGAAAGTTTGTCTTTTGTATATATTAAAATGTATCCAACATATTTAATGATTAATTTGGTTTTTTTCTAACTGAGACAAAATTCACATAATTTCACTACTTACCATGCTGAAGTGTACACCTTAGTGGTTTTTAGTATATTCACAATCTTGTGAAACCATCACAGCTATCTAATTCCAGAACATGTCCATCTCCCCCTCAGAATATCTTGTACCTGGCAGCAGTCAATCCCAATTCTCTCTTCCCATATCCTCTGCAAAAATAAGATTTTTTATTTTAAGTCATTGAGTTTGAGAGAGTTTGTTATATAGCATTATTGCAGATAAACTGACTTAGCCACAGGTCTATAATTACAGTTACATAATGCATGTGTATTTTGTTTAAATCTATTGATCATTATGGTCTTTTCCCATAAACTGTTCTTCTTTTTATATTTCTTATCTTGGTTAAGTAATTTTGCATTATCACTGATGCATTAAAATTTCTTGATGTGACATGAAAGACCCTTGCTAATATAACCCCAAATGATTTTTCTGGCTTTATGTATCATACTATTTCCACTGCCTCCTCACATACATAGACTATATGCTGACCACACTGTGCTTCTTGCTTTTCTCTCAATGTGCCAGTCATTTTTAAAAATAAAAACATTTATATTAGAATTTGAAAAGCAATTTATCATTTTGTTGTACAAAATATTTATTATTAATTTTTAAAAGTTGACATTTTCCATGTATCTCTAAAGTAGTTTCTCTTCATTTACAACTCTAGCTTACCATGCAATAGCATTTAGAATTCTAAAGATCTCTTTTTTTTTAAATGTTTTATTTATTTATTCATGAGAGGCAGAGAGAGAGAGAGAGGCAGAGGCAGAGGGAGAAGCAGGCTCCCCGCCGAGCAGGGAGCCCGATGCGGGACTAGATCCCAGGGCCCCGGGATCATGACCTGAGCCGAAGGCAGACGCTTAACCATCTGAGCCACCCAGGCGCCCCTAGAATTCTAAAGATCTTAAAGATCCTCTATTTAATGTTATTGTCAAACAAAACTAAATTCTAGCACAAGACAAGGAAATTCATAGCACCTCATTTTCTTATTCCCAAGAACCAGCATTGCTATATTATTTCCACTTAGCCAAACATAGTTTAATTCGTAATTATCCCACTTTCCAAGAGGATTTCAAATTCATCGGCATTTTCCAGTAACATCTTGACAAACACATTAAATCCTAGAAACGTGCCAACAATTTCCTTGCCACTGGTCAGCAAAACGCAAATTCACGATTCTTATCCACAGATTCCAATGGCAATAACTACAATGCACTTGTGGTGGTTTAGGCAGCCATACGTATCCTAGAAATAGCTTATAACAAATTCTTCATACCTTCTGTGCTTTGCTGAAATGTTGTTTACCTCCTTTACAACCTAGAATATTCTTACTTATACTTCAAGATTGGCTCAAGTGACTTTTCTTGTGACGTCTCTTCTGTTTTCCTGGTAGAGTTAGCCCATCACTCTCCCTGTTTCTCACAGCACGATTGTAATATCTATCACATTATGTAGGTTTTATTTTTTGTTTTTATGTCTTTCTCCCAAGTAGCCCCTCATTACTTAAGGACATTGATTTCAAGTCAATTATCTTTGGCTTCCTAGCCCCTAGCCCCCTGACTGCTGGGACAAGGGTGCTGAACAGATGCATGTAGCAGCCATGATGCTTTCCCTCCCCCTCTGCACACATGCACCCGTCATTTCTGAGCTTTTTTTCCCTGTTTCATAAATCTTTCAGAGATTACATTGGCCCGGAGAAAAAATGTTCAATATACCATTGCTATCGTGGTAAACCTCACCAACTGGTGTGTCTGTTGCAGATTGCTACACCTGAAAACACTCTCCACCCAACGTACCTTGACTCCCAGAAAGGCAACAGAAGCAGGGATGTCGCAAAAAGGTTGTGGTATCCCAGAGAGGATCTCAACTCCAAGTGGAGATCCTGCAACCACCACAATCTGAAATGGGAGTCAACATATGGGAAATAAAGCCTCCCGATTTCAGTTATTAACTGTACACATCTTTGAGATTTCCCGAAAAACCATCAAGGAGTATTAAGGAAGAACAAGGGTGGGGGAAAAAAGGTAATTTTCAGGAAACAAGGCTTCACCTGCCCAGCATAAGGAATCATCCCAAGAAGACCAAATCCCCTGAGTTTAAAACTACATTCCCACATCTGGATTCACATAAAGCGAAGTTAATGTTTGTGAAGAGTGGAAAATATCCAAATGGTGTATACCTCAATCCCAAACCACATGAATTTCGACAGGTACAAAAGAGCGTTTGATTCAAAATAACTTAAAACAGATAAGGTGAAATATATATTATTTTTTATTCATTTCTTAATTATGACTACTATTACACGAGCAAAAAAGGTATGTGCATATAAAAGTATGAATCTGCATCTTCATTTCCCATGGAACAATACAATTCAGATTCAGCAGTAAATGACAGAGGAGAGAGGTAAGACCTTGGTTAATGTTTCTGATGTGGTTTTATCTGCCAGGTGGAAAGACTGACTCTGGGGATGGACTTTTTTAGTTTTTAGAACGGTTGGGACTTAGATGTGTTTGGGAAACAAACCTCAATTGCCAGTTTACAATCCAGAAAGTAAAAAAATCAATTCATGGAATGAATGGATGAATAAGAATTGACAAAAGGGGCATCATGTTACTTTAATGAGTTTTCTAATGATTAATAACTTAAATAATATGTGAGCAAAAATTAGATTTATAATTTGAAATGGTGGTGGGGAATATATATTTAAGGAAATACAAATGAGGTCAAAATAGAATGCCTCTAGAAAATGAATATATTCTCTACTTAGGTCTATAATTTAACAATAAATATGACTCTTGCTCAGTAACAAGAGAAGCAATAGGGCTGGCAATACAAAAAAAAATAGCTACAAAAAAGAATAAATTTATTCTTGGAAAATATAAGAAAGCAGTTAGGAATGTGGTCTTTGGGATCAGATTATCTATTCTTGTCTTCTTAGTGCTACTAATTTGGGACAAGTTATTGAGCGTCTTACTTATTTATAACATGGATCACACTACACCCTATTTGATATGGTTCTTTTAGGTAATGAAGGAGAAAATTATATACAAAATACACCATGGTCTGGAATATCGAGGTATTCAATGAATGTTAGCTCTTAGGAGGTCTTAGGATAAAAGCTGGAAAATTCAAGAAGCCTTGATCCATAAACTTCTTTACTCATTTAAGGCATCTAAACCCTTCTATTTGAAGTAAATGAAGTATATTACCTTTTGGAGATGAGGGGAAGTCAGTTAAATAGCAAATGTCATTGGTTTATTCAAATATTTCACTAGCTACGGTTACAGGTACAAGACTTGAGTAAGTAAAGTTCAAGGAATGGGGACATTTTAATTTTAGCTGAATTAATTTGTGTTTATGAAAAAGTGAATTGGAGACTGTGTACTATAAATTGTGCAACCACCAGATGTCAGTATAACTTTTTTAAACCGACAGGGCCTCACATTTTATTTGATTAAAAAGTGAAAAATCTTGTATTAGAGTTTCCTTTGGGACTTTTAATATTTTCCTATTTGCTTCTGCAGGATCTAGAATCACTCATAAAGAAGAGGACCCTGTCTGACTTCTGCCTGAGTTCTCCCTTTTATGCCCCATTGATTCAACTTTCAAGCAGAGACATTTGTGATGTTTTTTAAATTAGTTTCTGGAAGCGTACAAATTCTATTTCAGATCATATTAATTAGTTCATTTAAACCATCTAAAAAAAACTTACTTTGTGTTATAGTTTACTGAAAGCAGTCAATAATTACTCTATGTCAATCTCAGTAAATTATTTTAGCTTTGTTAAATATTTTTATGTCCCTGAAATAAACCCAGCTCCAGAAATATAACATGTAACTCTATTTGCATTTGAAAATAAATGCAAATTTTGAATAGATTCCTTTAATTTCATGCTGTTAAAAATATTATATCTGATTTATTCACACTAAGATATTTGAAGTACTCTGTTCCACTATAAAATGAATTATTACAGTATCTTGAATTAGGTTATTCATTCAAATTTTCATATGCAAGTTTTTTTTTAGATTTTTAGAATTTATTTGAGAGAGAGAGAATGAGAGAGAGCATGAGAGGGGGGAGGGTCAGAGGGAGAAGCAGACTCCCCGCCGAGCAGGGAGCCCGATGTGGGACTGGATCCCGGGACTCCAGGATCATGACCTAAGCCGAAGGCAGTTGCTTAACCGACTGAGCCACCCAGGCACCCCTCATATGCAAGTTTTAAATGTTATAACAAAATCATCAGAATTTCATTTTGCCAGTGAAATAATTAATACTTGTAAAAATCACATTGCAAATACAATGTCAGTAATAAACAATATTTATTAGTAATAATACAATCTTTTCTTTACATATCTAGTACCAACGTAATTTACCAAACTTTGTGACAACTGTGAAAGGGACCCTTTTGGATTAAAATTTAAGTCCAGACACTTAAGTACAGGTGAGTCATTATCATAAACTTATGAATACAGCAAAAAATAAACTTTCTGCATTATCTTAATAGTAACACTTAGGAGCACTGGGGTGGCTCAGTCAGTTGGGCCTTGGACTCCTGATTTCAGCTCAGGTTATGATCTCTGGGTGGTGGGATCGAGCCCTGCATTGGGCCCCCCACTCAGCACAGAGTCTGCTTGAGATTCTCTCTCTCTCCCCCCTCCCTTTGCCCCTCCTCCCGCTTGTGCTCTAAATAAATAAATAAATAAATAAATAAATAAATAAATAAATAAATAAAAATAAAATCTTTAAAAAATAGTAATACTTGTAAAAACATACAACTAAAATGATTTTTTTTTTTACTTATCACCTTTTTTTTTAAAGCTTTTATTTATTTATTTGACAGAGAGAGAGAGAGAAAGAACACACAAGCAGGGGGAGCAGCAGAGGGAGAGGGAGAAGCAGGCTTCCTGCTGAGCAGGGAGCCCGATGTGGGGCTCGATCCCAGGACCCCGGGATCATGACCTGAGCCGAAGGCAGATGCTTAACGGACTGAGCCACCCAGGCGCCCCTTTACTTATCACCTTTAATAATTTGGTAAATTTTTAAAATGCCCACTTAATTAATGAAACAATCCATTTACTTCATTATCTACAACTTTTAATATATTATTGAAGATTGAGTTTTTAACTCAAAGTGTTCTGTATAGAAAACCAATAGAGTTAGTGCTTAAGAGTATAGACCAGGAAGCAAGCTGCCCCAAGTTACCTAAACTGTCCATCTTTTGGTCTACCTATCTATAAACGAGAATGATAATCATTGAATCTATATCATAGAATTATTGTGAACATTACTCTGTTACACTTACATAGATCACTTAGTTAATAATGTATATATAGCATGTGTTATCTGGTACATGAACATACACACACACACACACACACAATTATTGTCATTGTGGTGCCATTTGAACAGTGCTTGTCCAGAGTTAACTTTGTATTACCCAGCATTCCTCATTTGGACAAGGGTGACAATACATGCATTCTATATTTACATATTATAATTGTTTCTCAATTATAAACAAAACAATAAGATGTTAATAGTGGTTGTCCCTGGGTAGTGGAATAATGGTTAAATTTTATTTTCTTCTTTTAAATATGAGTATCAAGTAGTTCTATAGTTATGAAATTGAGATAATTTATTTGTAAATAATGTACACATTTTAGCATGGATTATATTGATAAAAGTCTTGTCTATGCGTGTAATTAAAATGGGACAAGTCAACTTATGTGTACTATGTGTAAGTCACTATGGAAAAAAAGGCCAGGGATACTTTATAAACCCAGACTCTGATCTCAAGAAATGTGTAAGTAAAATTTAAGTAGAATGCAAAATATGCCATTCAAGTCACAAAGCACTACTGAGAAGTTTAAAAAAGATTTCCTGGGAAACAAAAGCTGGAATGTGAATTGGAGTTTGAAGGATGACATTAAATTCCAGTAGAAATGGTGGGCAGGACAAGCAAAATTTTATTTGGATTTGCATTATAAATTGTCCATCAATTTATCTCTCCTGGACCCTGATCTCCAACTAAATTCTGAGAGATATGAACAAAGACCTGTGTAATTGCTAAGTTTCTCATTTGTCTCCATATCTGTAGTACATGGGTGCCACTCGCTGAAAGATGATAAACAGAAGAATAGTACAGAAAGATTTATCACCTACAAGCCTCATGAATGCACCTGGGATTCAAAGCTAATTTTACCAAAAGCTCCGTGGCGCATTAAATCTGCTTCATTCACGGTGAGCTTGACTCTTTCCCTACAGCTGTTGGGAAATGTCTCCAACACCGTTATTAATGATTGCTCTAAGGCAGGAGTTTTTAATTTGTTGCTAGCATATATAGTGAAAGACATTATCTTTAAAAGTAAAGCAGAGAGATCTCTGTTTTTCTCTTAAAATGCGAACAGTGAATTATCCAGAATTTAGAATTTCCTTTTCTTATTACAAAGATAGTTGGTATGATGGACTGAGACCTCAATATTGTAAGGAATTTTCCCCCAAATTTACTCCCACCCCATTTGCAGCAGCCCATTGAGTGAACTGCACTCAGTAAGAAGCCCTGACAAGAAGACTTTGTCATCCACTCATAAAAAGATGTTGAGAAAACACACTTTTACCATGGCTCAAATTCTACCCTGGACAAGTAAGACTGCTTTGTATCCCTGTATGTCCCAAAACAGCAAGATGTGCATTTGGCATACGGAGCCAGTTTTTAAAGCAAAGATTATTAAATAACAATTTTAAAAAGATAAACCACAATTAAAATCAGTACATGTTTGCTTTTGCTGACTTCCTTTGTGCCATCTCCCCGAAGAGACACAGAAGGCGGCGAGATGTGTACAGTGCATTTATGGATCGTGTGGAAGAAAAGTTTACCCAAACATGCAAGAACAGGTGGGTAAACACTTCAAGATTTGTTGTTGAGCACATGCTACTCAAATGATTTTTTTCAGTAATATGTACTTTGCCCTATAGAAGCTCTGTCATAAGAACTGTAAATGAGGGCGCCTGGGTGGCTCAGTTGGTTAAGCGACTGCCTTCGGCTCAGGTCATGATCCTGGAGTCCCGGGATCGAGTCCCACATCGGGCTCCCTGCTCAGCAGGGAGTCTGCTTCTCCCTCTGACCCTCCCCCCTCTCATGTGCTCTCTCTCTCATTCTCTCTCTCAAATAAATAAATAAAATCTTTAAAAAAAAGAAAAAAAAAAAAGAACTGTAAATGAAGTATTTGGATGATGCTTAAATCATTTTAAGTGGAGTCTGAGAGAATCTAGTCCCTTGATCAGATATTATTATTTCTCCTAGGTTCAGTGGAATTCTGGAAAACTGTCATGACTATGTCACAATTCCAGGTTTCGCCCATATCCACTCAGACTTGATCGTTCTAGAGCATTTCTGCCAACTGCCAAGAGCCAGCATCTGCATCCCCTTGCCCAAGGCTATCTGCGGCTGCTGGAGCAAGTCGGAAGTGCTGGGGGTTAAGAGCTCCCAGCAACAGCCCTCAAGTAATAATGGAGGTGATTGGTCTACACTGCTCCCCAGCATTCCCCCAGGGGGCTAAACGCTGGTTGTCTGATACCCTCGTGCACTTTGTTGGCTTCCTTCCTGTCTCACTTGCTCATGTGGTTACCTTGCCACCATTTTACCTTCACTTGGGGACCACCTATGGTTTCACCAGAATGCTTGCTAAGTGCCTGCTTCTGGGGAAACCTAAATCATGACACCAGAAGGCAGTAGTATGATGATCTTAGAAGGCAGAAAGCCTGGCTTTGAATCCCAGCCTGGCCATGTGATCTTGGGCAGGTTACTCAACCACACTCTCTTAGTTCTTCACCTGTAGAATGGGAATAATATGCTCTGTCCTTAGATGCAGACAAGGAGGGGGTGTCCGAGTCAACTTATAGCTTCTCTTAGCTCTCTTTATGCACTTGTCAATGTCATCTGTAGGAAGGGAGTGGGAGGGGGGATTAACATAGTGAATAGTTTGAGTTTGGGATTTGGTCAAAATGGATTCAAATCCTAACCAAATACCTGTAAATGTAATTTTGGAGGCGCCTGGGTGGCTCAGTCGTTAAGCGTCTGCCTTCAGCTCAGGTCATGATCCCAGGGTCCTGGGATCGAGCCCCGCATCGGGCTCCCTGATCTGCGGGAAGCCTGCTTCTCCCTCTCCCACTCCCCCTGCTTGTGTTCTCTCTCTCGCTGTGTCTCTCTCTGTCAAATAAATAAATAAAATCTTTATAAAAAAACGTAATTTTGGATGATTTGCTTACATTTTCTGAATCAATCTTTCCCAGGTTTCAGGAGAGCTAAGTGAAACAATATATATATATACTGCTGGTAAAGTCCCTCATATCTTCTGGATTGACTTATCATTGGTTATTATTGTTAACAATAATATAGAGATAGGGCTTTGCAAAACCATAGAAAAGTTACTTAATCATCTATGGCTCAGTTTTCTCATCTGTAAAATGACAATAATAATAGCACCCATTTCATAGAGTAAAGTTAAAACGTTGTAAAACATGTGGAACATAGATGACACTGATTACTATACAAGTATTTTATGAATAAAAATTTAAAAACTATACATACTGCATGTACAAAACAAGTGTCTAGGGACTAGTCAAGTCAAGAGTTGACTGAAAGTAAAGAGAGGAAAAGAAGTTTGGGGGTGGGAAGGGGACAGAGAGAGAGAGAGAAAGAGGGAGAGAGAGAGAGAGAGAGACACTCTTTAGTAAGATAAATTTATGGCCTTATGAAATGAGGGGAACCCAGAGAGTGAACAGTCAGCAGACGGCTATTGTAAGAGGAACAGATTACAGATGAATACCTAAAGAGGAGGTCAGTATCCAGAAAATTGTGTTCAAATGGACAGAAACTTGTTTTATGTTTGCAAGTGGTATGTATGAAGTCACCCCACTAATGACATAGGTTGTAGACTTATTCTTTCAAAGTGTACAAAGTGCTTCTTTCAAATTGCAAAGATCCTGTTGTGCATAGAAGTGTTGATCACCATAGCAATAGCAGGGGCTTCTCCTCTATAGATGATTTTGTACTTGAGCTTCGTAATTAGGGGCTCCATGCTCAATGCTATCTTATAGCCAAACACAGGCTCCAATCACAAAGAAAATGACAGGGCAGTCCATCACCAACTTACTTAAATTGGTTGCAGAAAATCATACACTCTGGCTGGCTACAGCATTAAGAATTAAGGGCCTCCAGTCTCCACCAGAACCTCACCCTTCCTAGCTGCTTCCACTGGGAAGCATCTTCGCTTAATTTCAAGAACAGATCTACCTCAATATCCCACAGGCTTCTCATTAATCTGAAGTCATAGATCCTCTTATTTTTTTCTTTAAAAAATATTTGCTATAGTTAGCAAATTGCACCCTGTGATAGTTCAAGCAAAATGGCTTTATTTTTCTCAAACATGACTTTTAAATGTCCTGTGTTGGATCTTTCTCCCCTGAGCTTGAGAACATCTTTGGCAGATCCCATAGCTTTTCAATCACTCCATTTGTACCAGCAATATCATTTCTGTAACTTCAACTCACATTCAGCCATGAAAAAGCTCAGGTGAGGATAAAAAGTATGTATGATTGTTACCTCATACCTTCCATAAAGAAATCAATTCATATATATTATAGATTCAAATGAGAAAGGAAAAAAAATAATGCTTCTAAAATAAATTCAAGGACATAAATATCTTAAACAGGACCATAAAAAAGGGAGTATCCATATAGAAAAAAATTATAAAAATTATAAAAATGTTTCAAAAGAAACAATTCAGGATTGAAAAGGCAGCCACAGAACTCATGCAAATAACTATGAAATAGACAAGCAACTCAAGAAAAAGTCATGGGGGTTTCACAGATGAGGATATCCAAATGATCGCACTTATTTATCTATTTTTTTTAAGATTTTATTTATTTATTTGACAGAGAGAGACACAGCGAGAGAGGGAACACAAGCAGGGGGAGTGGGAGAGGGAGAAGCAGGCCTCCCGCTGAGCAGGGAGCCCGATGAGGGGCTTGATCCCAGGACCCTGAGATCATGATCTGAGCCCAAGGCAGACACTTAATGACTGAGCCACCCAGGCGCCCCGAAATGACCACACTTAGGAAAATGTGCTCATCTTCATGAGTCGTCAGGGAAATGCAGTCAGAAACACAAGGGAATACCATCATATACCTACCAGAATTGCTAACATGAAAAAGATAGAAAATATGAAGCACTGGTAAAAGTATGAAGCAACTAGACTCCTCTACACCACTTGAGGGAATGTAAATTGGGACTAGTACCTTGGAAAACTAATTAGCAATATATTCTAAAGTTGAATGTGTATATATAACATATGATACAACATTTAATTCCTAGTATACTTATCTAAGACATATACATATTACATATGTACAGGAATATTCATTGCAAAATTATTTGTTATAATCTTCAAACTAGAAACAAGTCTAACGCCAATAAACAGTAAAATGGATAAATGAGAAAATGAACAATGCAGAATTAGATCCCTGCTATTTGCAACTACATGGATGAGTTTCACAAACATACTAATGAGTAAAAAATAAGAGTACAGATATATTATAAATAATATATATTATGTGGTATATCTATTATATAGTGTATATATAGTATATATAAAGTTTTATAGTATATATCATATATACTGTATATGTATTATATATCATATATAATTATATAGTATATATAGTGTATATATAGTTATTCCATTTTATAGAAAAAAAAAACACTTGTCTCTGTAAAAAATCAAAAAGTTGGTTTCCTTTGGTTTAAAGGAAAGGAGTACAATGAGGAGTTTTTGGGTCCTGGAAATGTAATAATTCTTGACCCAGGTGGTAGTAACGTAGATACATTCCCTTTGTGATATTTCATAGAAATATACATTTAATATATGCACACTATGCTGCATGTATATAAAGCTTTAATAAAAAATTAACAACTGGAAGTTTTCTCGTAATTACCTTAAATTTCACAAATAAATAAATAATAAGGCCTCATCTGTTCTAAATTAAAACTTTAATCTCAAAACTTCTTTGCTCTCCTCAACAAAAGCCTGTCCTGCAGGTCAGGGGTTTACAGTGAGGAAAGGAACATCATCTCCTGTTTTCTCTTTCTGCATCTTCTCCCCATCACACTCCATTATTTCTTGGTCTGCTTTTTATCTCCAAGGTGTTGGTGTCCAAAGGAGAAATGGGAGGGGCAAAAGGGAGGAACGGGGACAAAAACCTAAGTAGAAGGGATTGCTGTAATCAGACATTGACATTGCCTTTGTGGCAGATGTCCAAATGGTGACTTGCTTATGGAGCCCATTTTTTACATTCTTCTTTATCCTGTACAGGGATCTAATTCTGCATGGTCATTTGATGAGGACTAACCTCCAGTGTCCTGCCCTTAGCAGTCTATCCTGCTGCCTCTCACAGGAGAACCCAAGCCCTGTGCAGGCTGGAGCCTGGCTTTCTTATGAGTCCCTGTGTTCAAGGAACACTCCATACATGGTGAGCTTGTGGATGGCCCCATATTTTCCTTTCTCCATTTCCTGACACTGTGAGCCAGCCATCTTTTAATCTCTAGATCCTTCTCTATGATCAAATGTGCACCCTCTGAAACTGCTGGGGATATAGATGAAACCAGCCATCCACGAGGAACTGCCATACTACCTTGTGCTGAGGGGCACCCCGTGGTCTCTGCATTTTCTGCAGCTCAGCAAGAAGCCACCATACCTGCTGATTTCCTCCTCTTCTAGGCAACCACTATCTCTATTCTCTATAAATGATAATTCTGAGAATTTCTGAATTGGCTTTGTGGGGATCACCAGCTTTGCTTTCTCACAGGCACCAGAATGGGTACTCTACAATGCTTCCCCCCAAGGATAATGATGACTACTTAAAGCAAAATAAATAAATAAAATAAATAAATAAATAATGCCTTCAGAGTCTTAATCATTTACTTACTTAATTTGGATGGAATAGAGGATGAGAGTAGCAGGTCTGGCCCACTCACATTTTAGGAAGCCTTGTGGGAATATGTCTTCTAGCAGCTTCTCTCCTTGTGTTTTCGCCTTTGGGAATTTTGCCTCATTTCAAGACAACAGGAAAGATCCCACTTCTCCTTGCTGTTAACACTTGTATTCCTTGCCTCACTGAGCCCCTACCTTTCTTGCCTAAGAGAGAAGCCTGGGGTGCACTCCTGTCAAACTCCTCACATACCTTTAACATCCCTCCTAGGCCTTTCCTACCCACCTATTTTATTTGAATACCCCTCATCCACCCAGGGGCTAACACGACCCACAGCATACCTCTAGCATAGCTTTTATTACACGCCCTTTTCCCCAACTAGGTAATAAATTACCAACTAGGTAATTACCTATTACCAACTAGGTAATAAACAACTTCAGAGCCAGGCCTGATTTCATTTTATAGGTGAGTGCCTGGAATGTGGTATTTAAAAAATTTGCTTAATGAGTAAATAGAAGAAAGTGGTTGAGGTTCATTGTGAAGCATTGATAAAGATTCCTGGAAATTGGAC